TCTACTATATATATATATATATATATATATTATAAAATGCAAATACTTTTTTCGTGTAGAGATGCGCTTACATGGTTCTGGTCAGAATATACCGAAGTTTTTATTTGCCGAAATCCTGTCCCGATATATCGTCTTGTGTAAGAACTATTTTCATCTTCTGTATAATAAATTATTTGTTTAATGTATTGTAATATAAAGTGGAAAAAAACACAAGATATACCGCCTAATCCTTTCTACTCGTAATTTGTCATTTTATTGATGAGGTTTTTGCACATATCTTTAAAATCGATTAAATATTTATAAAGTTTTCTTGTTAATATGAAATTTAAGTTTGGATTTCTTGAAATCACATAGATATTATATGTGACATACGTTTTATAACTCAGGAAAGATTAAAGACAACTATTAATTATAGATTTTAAACAAGCATAATTTATTGCATCCTAGAATTGTATCTTAAAACATATGGATCTATCCAGAACTATTTCATCTTACATTAACTTTATCAGTGTGTACAACAGTAAAAATAAACAGAAATTTTATTAGGAAGTCTATAGGATCATAGAGCACATACTTGAATTTTTCCTAGACTTCACCATATCTCAATCTACATAATATCTGAAAAGGAAATACATAGAATTAAAAAAAGAAACAGTTTCTTTCATATGATCTTTGAACATAAAAAATAATACAATGTTTTCAATTGCAGTAGATTTTGATCTGGGTATTATGGTGTCACAATTATTATAATTTTCTGTATTTAAAATAAGATAGGAGATGGATGGAAAAAAGCAAAAAAGTAGGTAATAAATTATGACATTAATCCAAATCAAAACCCAAAATTGCAATTAAAAATGCTATTGAATACTTTTCATTTAGTGAAATTAACACAAATTGACACAAGTATTTTGTTTTTGTTGCTTATTGAATGCTAAGAAAGATAGAATGACATTTGTGTCTAAATGAAAAGCATCGATTAGAGATAAGATAAGACAACGACAACAAAGCAAAATTAGTAAAATTACTAACTGTTGGCGACTTTGCATTGACGAAGTGCCTCATTGAAACCTTCGCAAAGGCTCAAGTCTGGTTGGTTTTGGGCACATTCTAAGAACTGCTTGACCTCCCAGGAACAGGCACCGGCGGCCGGAGCCGCGGGAGCACCTGGAGTGGCAGCAACCTCTGGTGCAGCAGGGGCAGCAGCAGTCTCGCTGCTGCTGAAGAGTCCAGTCATGGCATGACCAAGGGTATGACCCACAGCGGATCCTATGGCAACTCCACCAGCAGTGGCAGCCATCTGACCCATAAGGGATGGCTGCTGCGGTTGGGCCACCATGGGTGACGTCGCCGAGGCAGGGGCAGGTGCTGGCACCCGGGATGGTGGAGGTGCGGTTGGTCTTACACTGAAATGAAAACGGTTTTTTAAAAGTTTCATCGATGATGCGAACGAAGTCGCGCTTTGCAAAGCGACATTCGATATTTTCTGCGTCGGAAACGTGAACTTTGTGACTATGATGTAACAACGTGATCAACGAGCTGACGATTACGGAGATCAAAAATCGGAAATTAAAAACCACGTTATTTACTCACGTTCGGGGTGGAGGAGCTGCGGCACGTCCACGTCGCGGCATCTTTCTTGTTTTTCTCTCTTGTTACAATCAAATTATGAAGTGAAATTCTTCAATTTTATGAAATCTTTTCTTAAAGCTCCGAATTGCACCTGATCGCTCGGCCACGATAGATTGACTAAGATAGATACTGCGCGATCAGGCAAAATTCATGAATCAGATTGCGCAATCGTAGAGGGCGCCACGGAGTGCTTCGAGAAATTTTCATCTCGTGACTCTTTCTTTCTTTCTCTCTAAAAATATTTGCACTATAAATAAGAGCGATTCATGAGGCTTTTTTGGATTTTCACAAATAATAGTCGAATTGCATGATCATGCTGCAATCTTTGAAATACAATGAAAGGAATTCTGACCTGTCAGGCTTCAATTTGGACCAAAGTCAGATAAAGAGAAAAAGAAAAAGATAATAAAAGGAATAAAAAGGATGAAATTAAAAATAGAATAAAGAATTAGAAATAGAGAATTAAATTTCGATATATAATAGGAATCGATAATAATCGTTAAATAATAAATAATAAAAAAAATAGGTGATCTTATATTGATTGAAAATAATTTCTCTTCCTAATATATATATTCAATTTTTAATTAATTTTTTTCTTTTATCTTATTTTATATTTAATTTAATTTAAAATTTTTTATTTTTTATTTTCATTCATTGTTCCTAGAATAATATTCCACTTAGCCTAGGACTAAAGTTTTAGACACATTGATTGGCTATAAGATATACAAAATTTTCGGAGATCTCACTATTGTGTAGCCAATTAGCGTTCAAAAATTTTGTCATATGACGAATTAAATGTTAACCTTCTGAACAGCATTTACGAAGAAGGCGAGGCACATCTTGAAAAATAAGAATTACATGATTATAACCTCTTCCCCACCTAATCCCTTTGTCGTCCATCCCCCTCTCGTTCTTTGACAGTTTGTTAGGCGATAACAGCTGATTCTGAAACGTAGACTCTCGCAGTGAGAATAAGCTTTGTCATAAGTAATATATATGTATACATATTATATATGTATAAATAATAACTGAATAGAACTTGATAATAAAGATTGTATTGTATTGAGAGCAAAAATATGCTGAAGCCAAAAGCGCTGACGCAGGTTCTCAGCCAAGCGAACACCGGGGGCGTGGAAAATACCTTGTGAGTAAAAATTTTGTGGTGATCAATAATATGTCACGTATGACAATAACAATTTTTCTTCGATATAAATTCGTTTGCAAGAGAAATTTCAAACTCCTTTCTAAATCCAAACCAAAGTAATATTGCAAAAAGTGAAGATATTTGTTTAATGTAAAATAATGCAATATGTTTAATGTTTAATGTAAAGTAAAATGAAATAAATGCTTTAAGTAATTTGCTTTATTTGTTTATGTAAATTTAAGAATCTCAAAGATTCAATGTAAATAATAACATTATTAATTGCAACACTGGATGTAAGTGTTATCATGTAGGCAGTTTTGAAATTCTATATAACTTTTTAATATCGTTAAATAAATTTCAATTATTATTAGTGTATGTGTTATATGTTTATATAAATTTACAGATTGCTCAACAGAGATGGTGGATTGCTAGCTTACAGTGGATATGGCGATAAGGATGCCAGGGTCACTGCTGCCATCACGAGCAACATTTGGACAGCTTATGAAAAAAATGGACGAAATGCCTTCAAGGAAGACGAGCTGCAATTTGTTCTTATGGATTGTATGGTAGTAACAGATTGAAGAGAATTTTCCTCTTGTTTATTTTATATATATATTATATAACAATCTATTACGTTCTCTCCATTTGCAGGAAGGAAAAGTTGTTCTTACCGAGGTAGCCAATTTGCTCTTGTGTTTGTATGCAAAAGAGAGTGTAGGATTTGGATTGCTGCGGGAAAAGGCACAAGCATTGGCCAAGTATCTCGATCAACCATTAAAGACAATAGCAAACATGCCTTGAGTGAATTGATCTTCTTTAGAAATCTATCACTCGCGAAAGATTATAGGTTTACCTTATGATATTTATTGTTTGTAAGAATTTGTAATTTGTATTGTACGTATATAAATATATTTTTTATCGATTCGAAATGCGTTGTCAACGCATTTCCATTTTTACGTGCATTTGTACAATTCTAAGTGCTGTAAAGAGAAAGAGTTATGAATATATAATTATTAATATAATAATACGCGAATGTAAGATGTTTTTTACAGTTGAATTAATATACACTTGTACTTAAAATGAAATACACATATTTGAAGTTTGGTGAAAGCAAAAAAAATTTTTAAGTTCAGCAATAAAAACAGGCCTACGGATGAATAAATAGGAGCAAAAGTTGGCAAGGCTCTCTGATGTATACAATAAATCTTTTATTTCATATAAGTTACAATTAATACAAACAATTTGCATTTAAATTTTTCATCTCACTTTACAAATCATAATATATATATATAATCTATAATCGTAAGGGCTACTTAATGTAAGCTCACTTCATCGGTAATGTGTAATGTCAGTTGCCGCATGTGTGAATTACTACTATTCAATGTGTAAAAGAGTCATTTCCAATTTATAATCCAAAAATATGTACGAGGCTGTGACTGCACGGGCGTGGAAATAATTAACAGCGTTTAAATTACATTCTACATTCTTGTTTACTTACCATGAATTGCACTAGAGATAAGAGTTATTGCCTAGAGAAAGTTCTAAAATTCTATATATCTTTATCATACCGGAGAATTATCTTACACGTTAAAGTCTGTCTTACACCGTTAAAGAAATTTTGATTACGTTTCGCGTTACACATCCATGTACGCACGACGACGAGATGAATGTTTGTACGTACATATATGTGGCACCTGTTTCATTAATAAAGCCTCTAGCTTTTTCTCAGAGAATATTTATATCTCTTTTCTCTTTCATATTTAATACATGTATATATTTTGACTTCCTGCAAACAAGTTAGCATGGCTTGTTTGAGAAGCTTGATGCCGGTCGTGCAAATTTAAAATTCAAAAACTATTGAGAGCACTCACGTTTTCATCATGCCCATTCTCACAGCGACTTAGGTGAATTTTTAGATGAATAAAACTGGGAAATGAAATCCGTGTAAAATGCGAGAATGATGTAAATATTTCCGTACACACACGATGACTCCTTCTTTGCGTCGCTTATCTCGTAATGATCTCTCCTATCGTCGTAATTTTAGTAGTCTTCTATGAATGTAAACGCTACGCTTGATCCCTAACGCCAAACACTGAATATCGATAAGTTTTGTCTACCGTTAGAAATCTCTATCTATGAAAGTACAAATTTTACACGAGTTAAAAGAGGGGATGGGAACGCGTTTTCGCACGTGAGTAATATGACAGTGAGTAATAAACATTGATATCGACTAAATTAACGATACGTCGATACCGACTAAATTAAAAATACGTAGGTTTGAGCTAGAAAATAATGTCTTACGTTAGCCTAAACAACACTGTACATAGCACGCGGGATTAACAATATTGGTCCTAAAAAGTCTCTGAAATTCCGCAGTACCGAATGAATTGTTGCCAGCCAATTCGTCATGTCGCATATCCTTCATGTTAAATGTCCGATATAATTACAATATATGCATATACCCTTTCAATAACAGGTGTTTTTTGCCGGTGTCGAAATAGCGAATGCCAATGGCGAGCAAAATGCAATTGATTATCTGTATCATTAAATTGTATTATCTCGACAAGAAAAAATATCGTGTATGCGTGAGATAATAATTTCGTGTATAA